ACCACATGGAAGCTCACGCCCTCGTCACGTGGCTCCCCTCCTGCCACGCGCACCACGCACCCCGCCCGCACCCGCCGTCCGCGTCCGTGCCGCAAGCCCCGCCGCCGCCGCCGCTGCTGTCGGGGCTGCTGCCCCCCTTCCCCTTCCTGACGCTGCTCGTCTCTGGCGGGCACAACATGCTCGTCCTCTCGCGCGCCGTGGGCGAGCCGCCCTCCCGCGCCGCCACACCCCGCCGCCCCGCCCCCTCTCCCCGCGGTTTTGTCAATTGCTGCTCGGTTGCTCGGCGGCTAGTCCTGTGGAAGGTCACCGACGCTTCCTCCCGATTCTTGACCGGCGACTGATGAGACGCACGCATACCAGCGCGGTGTCACACGGTGCGTGAGCCTGGCGAAAAAGGGTGTATGCTGAACGTGTGCCGCTCACGCGGGGGGCGCGGCGCGCGGCCGCGGAGCGCGGTGTGTGGGCGCGCGAGAGACTCTCGTGTTAGACGTATGTCCGTGATTCTGTGTCTGAATCTCTCGACGAACGAGACTGTTTCTTGTGTCTGATCAAAGCACATTAAGACATAACGCACCTGCAGCTCCTCATCTACTACCACCTCCTCGGCAGGACGGCAGCAAGATGGAACCGCACCGCGACAACTCGGCCCAGAGGCAGATCGACAGCCTCGCGGCCGGCGACGGGATGCCCAATTACGCCGCGCTCCTCGGCACGCAGCGCGGCGGGGCCAACTCGCAGACGGTGGGGACGAACGTGCTGGTCTACACCACGGGCAACGCGCCGATGACGTTCACGCTCAGGGGCATGCCTCGGGCCGACGTGAACGCCAAGGGCCCCACGTGCTACGTCGTCGTGCCGCGCTTCCAGATGCGCTGCGGCTCCGGCACCCTCTCCATCCTCGACCCCCTCGACGACGTCACCTTTTTCCACGGCGCCGACTTTGTCGCCGAGGTGGACGGCGTGCCGCTGGGCGCCTCCTCGTGGCGCAAGGCGTACACGTTCCGCTGGCTGGAGACGCCGCAGGACTTTTACGTCGACACGCGCGGCCTGCGCCTCAACCCGGAGCAGGCGGCAAAGATGGAGGCGCCCGCCGGCGCGGGCAAGCGCAAGGAGCGGGGGGGGGGCGGGGCGGTGCCCCGGCCGCGCGCGGACGTGGCCCATCCACAGCCGTGGTTGCGTTCACAGGGCATGTAATGAGTAAAACCTCTCCTTGGGCCAACCTCTCCTTGTAGTAGTACTTTTAGCTCAAACGGCTTCGCGCACGTGCCCCTCACCACATTAATCTCGCAGTGTCATCTACGGTACCGGGTACGACACTGGTCACTGCACACACACTGGATGGCGCGCACGCTCCCAGGGCGCGCTGTGGCTGCCCACTCACTCTCGTTCCGCCCTCCCGGGAAGAACAAACCGAGGGGCTCTCGGCCGCCCAAGAAAGCCGCTCCCCCTCCCGCCCCCCATTGCCCTGCGCACTTTTCTCGGCCATGTTGTTGGCTGTGGCGCACGCGGGACGGCCCGTCTCTCGAGCACGAAACACGCGCTCGCCTCGCCGCGCCGCCAAGAGGCGGGCCTCGGCCGCCGGGCCCTGCATCGGCGGTGCGCTCAGGCGGTGCGCAGCAGGAGGTGCGCCCCTCGCTCCGTCTCGATGGGCTGACTCACTCCGTTGACGGCGAGCGCGCGCGCAGCCTCCTCAAGCTCGGCCGGCAGGTCGCCGCCGCAGACTTCGCCGAGGTCGCCCCCCTTGGCGCGAGTCGTGTCGTCCTGCGACTGCGTCCGCGCCGCCTCGGCGAACCGCTTCCGGATCTCTTTCGGCTTGGCCGGAAGCTTGACGTTGAAGTCG